GGGGGTGTTAAACCAGGATACCTTATCCCCCTAAACCCCTGCCTGCTGAGGACTTTTCATAAAATGGTTTGGTGTCCAGCAGCTTTGCTGCATTTTCTTGTTTTAAGTGGAGGTTACACTCCAGCTGTCATCACATGTATTGCAGTGCGTACCTTATTTCAGTAATTCGTCACATGGTCTGAGAAATAGTGGCGGATAACGTTAGGATTTAATCGTAACTAAGCTAGGGATCGCCACAAGTATTTAAAAGAAGAAAATCATGACACCACCCCGCTGTTCATGAAGTGCAGTATACCAATAGAAAATGTAATAATTTGACCGGTAATGCTGTCTTTTATGGACGCCAAATTAACACATATATTTAAATAATTAAGTCCGTGGTAAAGCATGCTGTACAATTTAGTTTAAAATTACATGAAATAATAAATAGTTCTGTAACAGGGGAAAAGAAGATGCACGGTTAGCCTGATATTCTAACCAGGAACGCTCCAAACTGTAAAAGGACGCTCTACCAATTGAGTAGTCAGAATTATTCTGACGTTTTAAAACCTTTTTTCATATCGGTCTGTCGTCGATTAATTGATTTACCTGGTCGCCGACGATCGTCCTTGTTCAGTTCCGCTACATTAATATTCCTTCCTTCTTTTCTAAGTCTCCGCCCAAAGACTATTTACAACCAATGTTTGGGTATCCCCTTTCAAGTGTACACTCAATTCTAGAAACAAGCTAGAGTTGGTCACAGTCACCGGACAGGAAAGAGAAACGCACGGCCAGACCAGCCCAGCGCACTTCGAACTCTAGGCGGACGCTTTCTACCTGCAGGTCACCGACGTTCCACCAGGTCCAGTTCCGCCACAACTGAAACCTTTTATTTCATGCATACACTTTTACGAACTTCTCAAATGATTTATCTCCTAACGAATGACGTGTTTGAATTTTTATAGTTTGTGTAACATCAACAACAAAAATTAGAACACCCTTTTTTTTAAATAGTATTTTTGTGTGATTATTCTTGAGGAAAAACTTTACAGAAGTTATTTCCTTGAATCCAGGTAAAATGTAACACTTCAGCCACGTTTGTCAATCAAAACACTAACAAAATAACCGAAACTGAACATCAACCTTTTACGTCATTGAAATAAATTGTGGAAATGACTTCTATATGATATATATATATATATATATATATATATATATGTGTGTTTTGAATGAAATGCCAAGTATTTTGATTTGAATTCTGTGGAAACGCCAACTTCTTAATATCAGATTCCTGGCAGCATTATTTTCATTTGCAATTATATCAATATAGTTCTTGGAAGGCTAATCATTGTTATTTATTGTCACCGTGTGTTCTCGAGCTCCCTCTGAATAATTTCAAAAGATGTACTGTATTACAGACGTTCACATGGTACATTGTATGTCGTATCATTTATAGGCTGTACGTATATAAATGTACGTGCGTATTGTAAAGTGTGCAAGTTATAGTTCGTATGTAGTACGTTTATATAGGATATCATATCATTATTTCGACATCACACCCTGTATCAACCCGAGACCTCCATACTGGCCCCGTGGGCTGATATATATGAAGGTCTCGGGGCTGGGGATATATGAATGGTCTTATGTTAGTTAACCTATACTTATTACTTTACTTGTCCATGCTGGGTATAAGATGCTCTGCTGAAGTTAACGGCAAAGTATACACAGGTCAGAGAAGGGCTGGGTTCCTGATTCTAAATGTCAGTTGAGGAAAGCGATCGCTGGTCCATCGCCCACCTCGTTCACCCACTGCTTTGGCTCTTTTTCTTTCTGTCTGGGCAGAATGTCTGTTCTGGGCCATACTTTGCCTTTCTGTGTAATCAAAAGCTTTTAGTAGAACTGTTATATATTACTGTCCTATGGCTAATGTTTCCAACAATTTCCCGATAGTGTGGTCTGCTTTCAGCCTCATCAACTGCTTTTGTTGCTGGTTACCTCCGACCTGTCCTTACTGCCACTCCCGATAGTCGCACCTTGTCATTCTGTGAAGCATGAGAGGTCACGATTAGTAGTTCATATCCTTCATTGCGGATTTAACAGGGACCTGAACCTTTGCTGTTCTGCTTTAAAACTGTTAAGATACTTAAATTTATTATATATAAGGTGACAGTACCCAAATCGGATCACCAAACCATCATTTTATTAAATCATTGAAAAATCTGAGGAGAAATTATATTCATTTATGGTTGTATTAAAAATAGATTATCGATGGGTGTCCTCCCAAACGAAATTAGCACCCGGGGCTCACTTGAGATATTTATAGAACACTCTGAAGTCACCAATCAGCGTCTCCGTTTTTTTTGCGAATGTCGGGACACAAATCGGATCACGGCTTGAATTTTGCAGTATCGTACGCTTCAAATGAATATATTTTTGTCAGCATATTAACATTTTATGATGGCAATTAGAATTTATATGACAAAAAAGATTTCTATAGTGTGAATTTATTCCTATAGTCCAAAATACAGTGCATAGTCGTCGCACGCGCCATTTTTTAAAAACGTAATCAAAACATTGACATTCGAGTTTGAATTACGTTTTCTTGCGCTATTTGAACTTAAAAACTAATTATCTGTAGTCAGAATATGGTGCATGGCTATATATTCTAAGACAGCATCATTGTTATAACTGATTTGTTGACACATTTATTTATAAGTATTTTTGCAAAAGGTGATCCGTTTTGGGTACCGATCCGATTTGGGTACTGCCACCTTACATGTAGATATATACCTCCAATATAACAGAGACCACTCTTTCTTTGCCATCGGCCAACCAGCCCAAGGGCTACCATACAATGATACATGATCCAAATCGACATCGCATGGACATACGAACAAACTACACTATGCAAGATGTGTACTTGAACATAATCCGGATTTATATAGAGTGATATTAGATGTTTTAGTGGTTGAGATCAACACTCGGTAAAATGGTTTCCACTCTTTCTTCAATCAGTGATGGAGTTTGGTGGGAAAACTCTTGAGAGTTTAAACATTGACCCAAATATCATCTCGCAGCGAAACTAATAATTATGATGCGTATGAAATAGTGCTTGTTATGAAAAGATGGCTGATCTTTAATGCTATTATTTTCTATATCTTGCAAAATTTTTCTCCTTACGCGGAAACGATACCTGTTTACTCCCAAAACGTAAGGCCATCGGAGTGTTTCAGGGATTGCGTAAACAAGTGTTACCATTTAGTATATAAGAAGAAATAGTTGTCTCATCATTACACAAATATAGTGCCTTATATTTTCTGTAATTTCCCGGAAAGTATATGGATAATCAGCGAACAAAGACACTAAGAGTTGAGACACAGGTCTTTTACACTCTTTGCTTGTCAAAGGAAACAAACGTTTGAAAACTCGCAAAATAAGTTTTAAATTACTGTTTTGTTCAAAACAAACTTAGTATTTATTATTTATACTTAACTGGTGGAGCTCATTCTGAGTACTTGTTATCCACGGGTAAATATTGTTAATACATTATGTACATCTGAAAGTGAAGTTAAAGGATCGGGCAGTACTTACATGTACCTCAGTTCTTCTATTGCAGTTGTATAGATTCCTCGCTATAACCATCACTAACAAAATAGGCGTAGTACATATTTATCCCCATGCATAGTTTCTACTAGCTGTGTGATGTTAAACGTATGTTTTGTAACTGCTTGTTCCAGTTTTAGACATATATACTGATATATCTACTACATGTATCGGACACGTTACACAATGTACAGTTTGAGGAACAGTGTTATGAGATGTGGTGAAGCTAAGTTTGAAAAGATTGATATCTTTAACAGAGATGGCAATTCAATATTTCATAGAACTTCTTCAACATTGTTTTCTTCAGAACCTCAGCTAGTTTATGCTTATGTGTAAATAAAGAAATACGTAAAGTCAATCTTTTACTGAAGTTAGTAGTACGGAAGTGAATAGGTTAGTAAGTTGTTTAATTGAAAGCATACAAAGTATCCCACATAAAACCGTTGTGTAGTAAATGGGTCCACTATAGGGAGGGCACTAGTTCACTATCCAAGTTTTAATTTAGTGCCCCAACTTATTTTGGTACCGACCTAAGTGTGATGAATAACTCGTAATACCCAGCAACCTAATAAACTGAATTCGTTTCCTAGACAGTTTCTAAAATAGTATGTTCCGAAATAATTCAAGAGTGTTTATCATACAATGTACATGTTAATAATGTTTCATATCAAGGCAAGAAAAACCCTGACTTATTTGATATTCTATCACAGACAATATTAATGTAAACATATGTATACGGTGTATGTAAAATACGTACAAAACATATATTAGAAAGGCATGTTATGTTTAACCTAGTTACCAAGAACTATAATTAGGAATGTATTGCTAATGACTTGAATTCTAGTATTCTGAATGTGTCACATAGCTGATATTAATTCTGTAAAGGAAAAAGGGGCAAAGAACATAAAGCTCGTCTACGGGTATTCGCTATATTTTTTTTCTTTTTCATCCAGTTTAAAAGATGTATATAAAGTATTAACAACACTGGTATCGCGGTGTCACATTCATAGGATCTAATCACAAACCATTGATAGTTATATTTA